GCCAATTTATCTAAAACCGGAGTGGGTCGCTGTGCCAGCTAGAAGTCAAGCAGCTGCATTTTGAATCGTCGGTGTTATAATGTTCAACTAAGATGTGATAAAAGCACGGATGAATGTTTAAGTCCTTTAGAGACCAAATTAGCTTTCATTTAGCAATAGATCGTAGTTAGTAAAGCTGCCCTTTATAACACTGATTTAATTGTTAAAAATCAATGAGCTATCCATTAAAAACACCAAATTTTAAATGGAATTTCAACATAAGTGGATAAAGTGCCTCAGTGAGGATATTTGTGGAGCTTAAGGGGGGGACCAAATAAAATATTTTTCAGGTCTAGTTGAAGTTTTTTCCCCATCCAGGTTTTTGGATGATTCACTGTCTCTTTGTAGGAGTCCTTGTCAAGTAGATAAAACTAAGTGTCATCCACATAGCAGTGATATGAGTTTCTGAATGATGGTGATGCGGTGGGTCATTGTATAATTACATTTGAACAGGACCTAAACTGGGTCCTTGAGGGATGCCACATTTATTAGACCTAGAGATGAAGAATGGTTTCTTGTCTTTCAGATGCAGGAAAACCAGTGTGAAACGTGACTCTGCAAAACAGCTTTGTGCTCCAGATTTTTTTAAAATGTCAGTAGTGTCAAATAGCTGCACTGAGATCCAGCAAGACCAGAAGGGTGACAGGAACCAGAATCAACAGATAAAATGATATCACTTTACACATTTAACAGAGCAGGTTTTATACTTTGCAGGTGTCTGTTTCAATTGGTATTTTAGCAAACGCATAATACAGCAGACGTCTCTTGCAACCTGTTGGATTTTTTGTTTCACCCAGAAATTGATGTCAGCATAACTAATTCTCAGTTTGCTAATATGATTAAAATATTTTAAAAATCATATAAAAAAAAAACATCTAGGGAATCAGTGAGGAAATGGCAAAGAGCTGGCTCTATCTCGGGTGTTCGTTGCAGGAGTATAAGGCAACAGGACAGCTATGTCTAAGTAGATTACTGTCTGTTTACTTTAGGCCTGAATATAAACAAGGCAATAACAAAAGTAGACATGTGACTCCCAAAAATATGATTTTTACCATGATGGTGAAAATATGTCAGCTTCAAATTGCACTAAGAATATGATCTGATCTGTGAAAACACCTTTACATTATTGTCACTGATTCTTTCTCCATCTATGTGTAAATACAATCCCTTCTGTGTGACCCCCCCCTGCTATTTTACAGTTATAAATTATTTATAGGATATAAATAAGGAGCAGTCTGGACTGTAACACTGTAACACCTGCATTTTTTCCCCCTCACTCCACCTACTCACCTGCTAGTGAAAAATGACATCCAATCTTGGTGCAGACAGATTGCAGACAACGAGAATGCATAAACTAGCAGGTGATACGATTTATTTTCCTCCCTGAGATATCCAGACTGCATTTTACCGTCACGTCTAAATTATATTATTATATCTGGATTAACATATGGCTCCTCCTCATTCATTATGAAGCAAATAATTGCAAGAAAGGTACATTGCCATATTTTCTCCAAAAATCTAAGTTAAATTGGTAATAACTGAACGTTATGTTTAGCCTACGGAAAAGTGTTGCAAAGTGGTGATGGAGCTGACTTGTGTGCAGTTGTGTCAACAGGCTGGGACGTCAATACTTAGCTCACAATGCTGCTTTGACAATCACCGGTAAAGCTGATTGCAACAAGAGTAATAACGACGGGCTGTGAGCAGAGTAGCAATAAAACAGACACTCTTGTGGTGATAAACAAAG